AGAGGAACAAATGTAATAATCTGAACAATAAAGATTTAATTAAAAAAATAAAATAAAAATTCCTTTATTTTACCCTTATTCTCTTTTTCTCAAACTTAAAAATGTGCAAGAATATTACCAAAACCTCCTTAATACCCTTCAGCAAGTCACCAGTTTTTAACATTGTTTCTGCATTTGTTTTATCATGTCTTTTCTCTATATTGTAGATGCATATTTTTTCTTGAATCATTTGAGTTACTTGCAGTTACCTTTCATATTTGAATGGTCGTTTGGCCACATATAGAATTCTACATTGGAAATCATTTCCTCTCAGAATCTTGAAGGCATCAATCCATTATCTTTCTTTCTTTCTTTTTTTAAAAAAAAACTTCTTTATTGAATTTATTGGGGTGATAAAATTATATAGGTTTCAAGTGTACAATTCTATAACACATCATCTGTATATTGTATTGTGCATTCACCACCTCAAGTCAAATTTCCTTCCATCAGTATTTATCCCTATAACTTCTTCTACCTCCCCCAGTCCCCCATTCCCTCCGGTAATCACCATGCTGCCATACTGCTATTTGTGTCTGTGAGTCTTGTGTGTGTGTGTTTGTGTGTTTTGCTTAATCCCTTCACCTTTTTCACCCAGCCCAGCAGCCCCCCTCCCCTCTGATAACTGTCAGTCTGTTCTCTATGAGTCTGTTTCTATTTTGTTTGTTAGTTTATTTTGTTCATTAGATTCCATGTATAAGTGAAATCATCTGGTACTTGTCTTTCCCTGTCTGGCTTATTTCACTTAGCACAATTGCTCTGCAGGTCTATCCATGGTGTTGCAAAGGATAAGATTTCCATCTTTTTTACAGTTTAGTAGTATTCCACTGTAAATGTACCACAGCTCCCCCCCCCCCCCCCCCCCCCCCCCCCCCACTCATCTACTGATGGACACTTGGGCTGCTTCCAAATCTTGGCTATTGTAAATAATGCTGCAATGATCACAGAGGTGCATATATTCTTTGATTAAGTGTTTTGGGTTTCTTCGGATATATTCCCAGAAATGAAATCTCTGGGTCATAAGGCAGTTCCATTTTTAATTTTAATTTTTTGTTAAACCTCATCTGATGATATTTTTTCCATAGCTTTTCAGAGAGAGTGGAAGGGAGGGAGGGGCAGAGAGAGAGAGAGAGAGAGAGAGAGAGAAACATCGATGTGAAACACATTGATTGGCAGGTAGTGAACCTAAAACCCAAAACATGCCCTTGACTGGGAATCGAACCCTTGACCCTTTGATGAGTTGGCCAATGCTCACTGGGACACATTGGCCAGGGCGTTCATTTTTAATTTTTTGAGGAAACTCCATGTTGCTTCTACAGTGGTTACACCAATCTGCATTCCCACCAACAGTACATGAGGGTTCCCTTTTCTCCACATCCTCACCAATGCTTGTTGTTTGTTGATTTATTATTTATTTTATTTTATTTTTAAAATATATTTTTATTGATTTCAGATAGGAAAGGAGAGGAAGAGAGAGATAGAAACATCCATGATAAGAGAGAATCATTGATCGGCTGCCTCCTACTGGGGATTGAGCCCACAACCCAGGCATGTGCCCTTGACCAGAATCGAACCTGGGACACTTCAGTCCGCAGGCCGATGCTCTATCCACTGAGCAAAACCGGCTAAGGCTGATTTATTGATCATAGCAATTCTGACAGGTGAGAGGTGATATCTCATTGTAGTTTTTATTTCAATTTCTCTGATAATTAGTGACATTGACCATTTTTACATGTGTCTATTGGCCATTATATGTCCTCTTGGAGAAGTGTCTATTCAGGTTCTTTGCCCACTTTTAAATTAGATTATTTGGGGTTTCTTTGGTGTTGCCATTAGCTTCTGGTTTCTGTTGTGACTTGCTTGTGCTCTCTGTAAGCTCTTCAACTTTTCTTTTCATCCTTGGTTGTCTGACCTTCTGTAGTGATGTGCAGTAGTGCAAGTCTGCTTTCCTTCACCGTTCTGAGTGTCCAGTGGGCCGTTTTAGGTCTGGGAAATTCTTTGATAATTTCCCTGTCCATTATCTCATTTTTCTGGAACTTCCATCAGTGAGATGTTGAAACTCCTAAATTGATCCTAGAATTTTATTCTCTTATTTCTCCAGTTTTCCTCTGTTGGCCTTTTGTTCTACTCTCTGGGAGACTTTTTCAACTTTATCTTTCACCCCTTCTACTGAATTCCTAATTCTGTCTATCCTACTTTTGTTTTAATTTTCAAAAGCTCTTGCTTGTCACAGGGACGTGCTTTTTCTATAGCAACCTTGTTTTTTCTTTTATGTATACAATACATTCTCACATCTCTCTGAAGATACTAATTAATAATGCTTTTACCCCAAGATTTCTTTTGCTCTTTATATTGCCTCTTAGATCTGGATTAACTTTCTATTTGTGTATTTTGTACTTTGTCTTTCATTTTAGAGGCTCTCTTTAATTACTTGGTAATTCTTTGCTTTCTCCTTGTTCACAGGTTTATAAATGTGAGGTGCTGAGAAGCTCATTGGAAGATTCTCTGTGAGTGAATGGGGCTCTGCAAATGTTTGGGGCCCAGCCATTTCACCGGAAGGATCTGTAAGTCCTTTCTCCTAGGCCCTTTGCTTTTATTGAAGAAGAATCCTACCTGGAAAGGTAAAGTATGGCTGTCAGTATCCTGGGACTGAGTGGGAGAAAGAGGCTGGGAATATCAACTCTTAGCCATTAGACTTGAACTTAATACCATGGTTTTCGGTAGGGTTTCTTTTCTTCACAAACCCATGCTGGTATTTCCAAGTCCAGAGCCTGTGTGTTCTCTTCAAAGGTTAAACCGCCCACCTTGCCCTGACCAGTTTGGCTCAGTGGATAGAGCGTCGGCCTGCGGACTGAGGGGTCCCGGGTTCGATTCCGGTCAAGGGCATGTGCCTTGGTTTCGGGCACATCCCCAGGTGAGGGGGGGGGGTGCAGGAGGCAGCTGATCGATGTTTCTCTCTCATCGATGTTTCTAACTCTCTCTCCCTTCCTCTCTGTAAAAAAATCAATAAAATATATTAAAAACAAAACAAAACCGCCCACCTTCTTCTGGGGTGGGAGAGGGACAAATGCCTGACTGCACAGGGTCTAAACCAGGGGTGGGCAAACTTTTTGACTCGAGGGCCACAATGGGTTCTTAAACTGGACCGGAGGGCCGGAACAAAAGCATGGATGGAGTGTTTGTGTGAACTAATATAAATTCAAAGTAAACATCATTACATAAAAGGGTACGGTCTTTTTTTTTTAGTTTTATTCATTTCAAACGGGACGGATCCGGCCCGCGGGCCGTAGTTTGCCCACGGCTGGTCTAAACTGTACTTTATGAAACTCTTAGTAAATCTTCCAGTTTTCAGCCCCAAACTTCCAACACCCCAGGCTTCCAAAGTGTTGTGCTTCCAATGTCTGAACTTTTCCTAGGTTTTGTGGCAGCATCTGTTTAGTGTGGCAAAGGTAGTGCCACAGACCACAGCTTTAGCCTTTCTTGCAGTTAGGTTCTGTGGCTGAATTGTGGCCAGTGGGAGGCTAGTCACCCTGATGTGTATGTACCCTTTCAGGCCTGGCCCTTATAAACAGCCATCAACCCTCTCCAGATTTGGTAGCCAGGAGGTGGACTCAGAGAATAGTCCTAAGAACTGCACTATTACAGGTCCTGGGGTCCCTGGGATTTGTTCTGATTTTTCACCTCCATCTTTTGATTATAGAGCTCTCTGCTTTTAAGACACAATCATTTCTACGGAGCTAATGGAGGAAGAAGGGTGGGACCTGTGGAAACCTCAGTATGATAGACAGGGACCGTAGGAAAAGGGATCCCAACATTTGCTACTTTGCCTTCTGGTAGGGGCAAGGAAATAATACCATTTTCTTTACTTTTCTCTCTTACCCCATTATCAAGAACAAATTTTGGTAAAAGAAGGTTAAAATGGCTAGAAATTGTTTAAAAAATGACTAGAAATCTAAGTCCTATGTAGGTAAGTTGGGTGTTTATCATCGTATGTCTGGTTATACCCCAGCTAAGCATAGATTTTAGGCAGGTCAAAGAGTGATTTTAAGTCTGTCTCCAGCATAGAAATATATTTCTCATTTCAAGGACCTAAATGTTCATTTCATTAGGAACTAGTAATAAAAACATGATAGGGTAGCCCTTGACTTAGAGAAGCTCACCCTTCAGCAATTTCTCCTGGGAGCTCTTTGCCAGATACACACTGTCAGGAGGTGATGCCAGGCCTGGCATCCATACCACCCCCAAAGCTACTGTCCCCCTAGCTTCTCCCCTCTCTGCCCATAGCTCCTCTACGCTTTTTTGGCCCATTCTTCCCCACACTTTCCATCCATGCACCAGCCCCCTCTCCCAGGAATCTCCTTAACAATTAAACAAAAGTAACTGAAAATTTATAAGATCTACTTCCTTATTACCAGACTAAGTGATTTACATTTTGAGAACTTAGCTATTGGACAGTATACAATTACATGGTTTCAGCTGATTTGAATATGGAATTTGTGGTCATTAAAAGAGAAGAGTTGAGATGACACCCTTCGGCATGCAGCTGCCTCACTACATTGTTTGTGTAAGAAAACCAGCTTTACCCAAGAGTGCCTTCTCCAGGGGCGTGCCTTGCCGTGACTGTGAGAACTGTCTGTCCTGTTCTTTCTATGTGGAGATGTCCCAGTTGACTGTCACCCCGGCATCGGTACCAAGTTGCTGTTCCAGTGCATGAAGGCCCTTATCTGCAGGAAGAAGCAACGTCCAGGAAGCGGTGTTCAGAGACCTGTCTGGCACAAAAACAGGCATCTTTCAAAGGGGGAACCTCTTTTCGCCAGAGCGATCCCTGCTGAAAGCGGCTTTCAGTAGAGCTAAAAGGAACACACCCTGGGGCAGCTCTGCTTTGAACGTTGCTGTCCATTTAATAAACAGCCCTTCTCTTCTGACCAGCGCCTTCACCTTCCAACACCAGGAACAGCAAGCAGCAGGACTGAGTATAAACACTTGGAAGACAAAGGTAAATAAGGGTGGAGTAATCAAATAAGTCACCTTTCCTCTTAGAGTGAACTGTCCCCTCCCCTGTCACGGGCAGCTACAGTGACACGTGGTCTGGCCATAGAACAGCAGGGCTGGCCGCACAATTTCCTGCCCAGTACAAAATGAAGATACACTCCCCTTGTTCAAAAAGCAGGAAAACTTGTACTGTTAAAGGCACTATATGAAGCCTTTCCTCTCTTTCCTGGTTGCTCTCTTGACCTGCCTGAGTGTTTTTGAATTTGCTGTTTAATGTAACGCCCTTGGGGAGGGGATACTCGCAGGGTAAGTGCAGGTCCTGCTGGGCAGCTGGACCCCCCCCCCCCCCCCCCCCCCCCCCCCCCCCTGCAGGAGTCTCAGTGCCTGAACATACTCAGTACCTGGACTGGGGGGTGGATGAGAGACCTTTCCCTGGCGAGTTTCCCCGCCTTTACTCCCCCCAAAAATTGTGGTGCCCTGGCAGAGACGACTGCTGTCACCCACACCTTGCTGAAAAGCATTCCCGGGGTGTGCGTGACACACCCCAACCTTCCTGGGCCTTAGCCCAGGGCCCCACTGGGGGCAGAGCGTCACAGCAGAACATGGGCCTCGGAACATGAGCCTCAGCAGAATACAACCTGGTTGTCACCTGGGGGGAAAGTGGCAGTGGTCACAGTGGGGAGGGCAGACGTGGAGAGGGTGAGGCCTGGCAAGGCTCCAAGCGCCAGGTGATGAGCACCGGCTGCCAAAAGGTGGGGAGCTGACAGCAGGCAAACCGCATGGCAGCTGAAGACTCCAAGGCACATGCTTCCAGTGTTCATCAGACTTCATTTACAAAACAGAAATTTAAAGAAAAAATAGAATTTTAAGGTGGCAACTGCATAGCAGTAGACACCAAGTGCAGGGTCTGTCTGAATGTGGGGTCCCATGCCACTGCTCTGTGTACACGCTTTGAAGCCTGCCATGTGGGGTAAAATTATTGAAATCAATGAAGGTCCAGAAAGGTCTTTGCTTTTTATCACATTTGTGGCATTTTTCATCTGACCTCATACACCATTTCATTTCTCTACCTTCTTCCCTGCCTAGATGCCATCTGCAAGGCTTGGCTCCTGCTCTTACCAACTATTCTCTGGCATATTACAGTCCCTCTCTAAACGTTATCCATGAAATAGAAATAATGCAATCATCTCACAAGATTGTTGTGAGCCCTGGCTGGTGTTGCTCAGTGGATAGAGCGCCAGCCTGCGGACTGAAGGGTTCCGTGTTCGATTCTGGTCAAGGGCACATGCCTGGGTTGCGGGCTCAATCTCCAGTGGGGGGCGTGCAGGAAGCAACTGACCCATGATTCTCGCTCATCATTGATGTTTCTAGCTTTCTCTCCCTCTCCCTTCTTCTCTGAAATCAATAAAAATATATTTAAGACAGAAAGATTGTTGTGAGGATTTAATGAAGTAAAGCTTATAGGGCACCAAGCCTAGTGACTGGCATATGTTTTATACAAATGGACATAAACATGTATAGTATTTACCCACATACAGGATACCCATACCTCTCTGCTAGGACACAGAGGGACAGTACCAGAGTACTTAAAAGGTACTTAATAAGTAATTTTGGACAAAAGAATACAGTTAGTAAGAACATGTTTTTACATGTCAATCTAGCTAATGGATGCTTTAGGCAAAATGCAATGCAAATATAACTTTACAATTTAAAAGAGAAACCAGTAAAACATTTTTTAAAATTTCAAACCTGTTGTGGTAGACTAATTCAGAACATAAGCTTGACTGAATTGACGACATGGAGAAAATGAAAAAATTCTGAAAAAAATATGATTTCAGAGTGAAAATAAGGCCTTATAAAAAAAAGAAATTTGTTAGCATGGAGAAGGGTAAGAAAGAACTTTAATAGCAATATTGCCTTCAGTTAAAAGTATGTATTTTGTTATAAAAGTAGCACATGTTTATTATAGAAAACTTAGAAAATACACATTAGCAAAAAAATTAAAAATATGCACACTCCCATCATTCTCACACAATGAGAAAATTTGTACCAATTGATATCCTACTGTAAATATAGGTTTGATACCCTTGATAATACTGAGGCATTTTTATTTTTTAAAGTATATTTACTAATTTTACAGCTAAAATGTCATCTCATTGATATTTTTATTTTTAAAATTTTTATTTATTGATTTTAGAGAAGGGGAAGGAGAGAGAGAGAGATTTGTTCTGGTTATTTATGCATTTATTGGTTGATTCTTGTACAGGCCCTACCAGGGATTGAACCCAAAACCTTGGTGTATTGGGATCACACTCTAACCAACTGAGCTGCCTGGCCAGGGCAAAAAATTAGAAATGTTTTAAAGTACATATAAAAAGTACGGAAAATAATAGAGCAGATGCAGCATTTCTATGTGTTTTTTCAGAAGGAAGGCCTGCTAGGGGTGAGTTAGAGGCTGTAGTAATACAATTTGCCATGTTGCTAGAAAAATAAGTAAAATGTTTACCTTTTTTCCTTACTGTTGTGCAAGAGTTTCTTGTACAATAAGGATGTTAACCTTTTTCTATGCCACAGAGCTTTTTTTTGTGACCAATTCATCAAAGTGACTGATAAGAGCCCTGGCCTAGTGGCTTGGTTGGTCGGAGCGTCATCCAGTACACCGAAAGATTGCGGGTTCCATCCCTGGTGATGGAACATAGCTAGGTTGAGGGTATGATTCCCCCATCAGAGTGTGTACTGGAGGCAACATATCAATGTTTCTCTCTCACATCGATGTTACTCTCTCTCCCTCCCTCTCTCTCTCAAATCAGTAAAAACATTTCCTATGGGTGAGGATTAAAAAATACATTTTTCACAAAGTGACTGATAAGAACAGAACAAAAATAAATTAGTTTAAATTAAAAAAAATTTAGTTGGACATGAGAAACAATTTCTTGACCATAGAGAGAATAAACTTAGGAAACAATTTGCCATTATAAAGTCTCTGACCCTCCATCTGTCTTCTATGATTTACATGAAATCTAATTATGTAGGAGACAGGAACTAGATCAAATGGTTGTTCATGTTTTCTCCTGGTTCTGTTTATTTTCTTAGATTCTAAAAAGCCTTAATTTCAGAATTAGTAGGGAGAGGCCTGGCTTACTTGGACTATTTGATTTAACTCGCATTCCTCACTATTATAAGCTAAACAACTGAACCTTTGCAGGACTTTTGAGTGAGGGCTGCTAAGTCTACTATTGTTTGTTGGTTCAGCAAGTAAATGTGAATTCCATTACATAACAACTAGGACAAGTGTTCTATTTATAAAAAAAACAGCATGCTTACTGCTGAGTCATTAGGAGTCATTGGGACTGTACACAAACACAGATATTCAACGCTAGGCAGGCATGTGGTAGTCCTTTGCAGGACTTTTGAGTGAGGGCTGCTAAGTCTACTATTGTTTGTTGGTTCAGCAAGTAAATGTGAATTCCATTACATAACAACTAGGACAAGTGTTCTATTTATAAAAAAAACAGCATGCTTACTGCTGAGTCATTAGGAGTCATTGGGACTGTACACAAACACAGATATTCAACGCTAGGCAGGCATGTGGTAGGAATGCACTTCTCTAGCCCCTTGCAGAGAGGTGTGAACATTTAATGACTTTCACTGGCCAATGAAACATGACAGGAAGGGACATTTTCACTTCTGGGACCAAGTTTTAAAACAAAAGATTTATATGTAGTTGATTGTATGTCACTGATACCTCAATAAAGAGGTATAATTTTATTCACAAAGTTTACATGTATACACATTTTATTAAAGTTTATAGTTTATAATAAACTGCATGTGTTTAAAGTGTACAATGTTATATGAGTATATACCCATGAAATCATCCCTACAATCAAGATAGTGAACATATCTGTCACCTCCAAGAGTTTTCACTTGTACTTTTGTAACCCCTCCCTCTCCCACCTCCCTGTCCCCTATTTCCAAGCAACCACCAATCTCCATTCTATCACTGTAGATTAGCTTTGAATTCTCTACAGTTTAGTCATATAGTAGGTATTCTTTTTTGGCTGGCTTCTTTCACTTAGCATGATAATTTTAAGATTCATCCATGTTGTTATATGTAGCGATAGTTCATTCAGTTTTTACTGCTGAGTGGTGTGTCATTTGATGAATATGCCAGTTTGTTTATCCATTCACCTGTTGATGGGCAGTTGAGCTGTTTCCAGCTTGGGTTCTACTACAAATAAAACTTCTAGCCCTGACCGGTTTGGCTCAGTGGATAGAGCGTCGGCCTGCGGACTGAGGGGTCCCGGGTTCGATTCTGGTCAGGGGCATGTGCCTTGGTTGCAGGCGAATTTCCAGTGGGGGATGTGCAGGAAGCAGCTGATCGATGTTTCTAACTCTCTATCCCTCTCCCTTCTTCTCTGTAAAAAATCAGTAAAATATATTTTTAAAAAAACAAAAAAAACCTTCTATTAACATTTGTGTACAAGTCTTTATATGGTCAATAATTATATTTCTTTTGAGCAAATACTTAGGAGTGGACTGAAGGGATCATATGTTCCTTGTATGTTCAACTTAAGAAACTGCCAAATTGTTTTCCAAAGTGGCTGTAATATTGACATTGTCACCAGAAGTCCACAAGGGTTTTAGTTCTTCTTATCCTCATCAATACTTGCTATGGCCTTGGCTGGTATTGCTCAGTGGTTGAAGCGTTGTCCCATACACCAAAAGGTTGCAGGTTTGATTCCTGGTCAGGGCACATACCTAGCTTTCAGGTTTGATCCCTGGCCCCAACACATATGGGAGGCAACTGATCAATGTTTCTCTCACATCAATATTGCTCTCTCCCCCCAAAATAAAAAATCAGTAAAAACATATCTCAGGCGAGGATTACAAAATAAAAAGAAAAAGCAATAAAGGACATCCAGATTGGAAAGGAAGAAGTAAAACTGTCTTTATTTGAGATGACGTGATAGTCTATGTAGGACATCCAATGGAATCTCCCAATTC